CTCATCTGCTTCACTAATTCTGCTTTTAAGGCTCTCTAATGTGTTTGTCATTTGATCTATTGAATTGTTCATTTCATTATGATTCATCATCACTATCACAGTTTCATGTTCTACTAGTTTTTCATTTCATTTTGATTCCTCCTTAAGATTTCATTTTCATGAGAGAGAAAATGTCCATTAAGGATTTCTGTAGTTCAAGAATTTGTTTTTGAGAACTTCTAAATGTTGTTTTCATAAATTTTTTGAATCTGTATCTTGCATTTCTTCTATCTCATCATGTTCATCATCTTGAATTGGGGTGTCTTGTTCATTTGGGGGTGTTATGATGTCTTCTTTTTTCTTGTTTCCTCAGTTTCTTCATTCATTGCTTGGCATTGTGAAGATATTCTTTGGTTTCTAGCTCTATTTTTTTTTTTGCTTTGGTGGTTTTTCTCTTATACATTGACTCTAGATTAAGTGGACTGTCTGCTTTTGATGGATCCTTAGAGGCTTGTGATGGGTGTGTCCACAGAGCTCTGTTTGGTTCTTCAGGGTTAATGGTGACACACCCAGGTTAGGCATGCTAGATATTCTCTTTCTCTCCTTTTTTTTTAATTCAGAAGGGAATTAATTCCACACAGCTGAGTGTAATTGGAGGCAGTCATTGTCTGAGCTCTGGCCCCTGTGGGTATAATATTTGTCTGCTCTGTCACAAGGACCACCCAAAGGATCTGTGCAGTCCTCAGTGTAAGCTCACATTTGCCTGCAATCTCTCATAAGGTTGCCAAGTTTACCAAGTTTGTGGCATCTCCCGAGAGTACTCACGTCTCAGGCACTCCATGAGTTCTCTCACACACCCTCATCTTTGTTATTATTTTTCACAGTCTCAGTTCATAAGCTCCACACATTCACTAGGTCCTAACCTCCTGTTATTTCTCCCCACCAGAGTCAGGTTTTTCTGTTTGGCTTAGGGCAGGCACAGCCCTGAGGTGGCATAGCTTTTATGTATATCCAGAATGGTGCCTGCTCTTTGTCTTGCTCACCTTTGTAAGGTGAGTGAGAAAAAGAATTGTGTCCATACTGGTCCATTTTATTTTATTTTACTTTATTTTATTTATTTTTCTCTCTCCTCTAGTTAGACTGGTGGACTTTCCCCCATGGGGCTTCAAACCTCATTCCCTCTAGGCTCTTCCTGCTGCTTCCCCACCAGTGTCTCAGGCTACTGAGGTTTCACCTCACCTCCCTTTCCAGAGCTGGTGCATAGACTTGGCAGCTGGGGTCCTGAGCCGTGGGCACCTGTGTCCTCCACATAGGTTCACCATGTCCTACTACTTCTGGAAGAGTTTCCTCTGAGTTTTTCCTGTAACTCTTCCCTGAAACTACAGTATCTCCACTTTTATTAAACTATCTTTTCCTGGATTATCAGTGTGCTCCCTCCCTATTCCACCATCTTGGAGGACTCCTTCCCCCTGTATTCTAATAGTCCTCCCTGGTAGCTCAAGGAAGTTTTGCCAGGATCTTTGTAAAAAAGATGAAACATATTGTATTTCAGGAGAAAAGTGCTTTGTGTAGTGTCACATGATTTGTAAATACCTGGCACCCTAACTTCTGTCTAATGTTCTCCACTTTGCCACACTTAATTAAAAAACATTTATTTTTCAGATCCATTTCAGAAATTGTCACCAGTTCAGATAGTATTGCTTTAGAAAATTTTCCTGAGCATGTTTTCCCTTTTGCTACTAATGCTATGTTTGGAGTGTGTGACTTCAAAAAGCATATCATGAGGCCGGTGCTGTGGCACAGTGGGATAATGCCCTGTCCTGAAGCACCCACGTCCCATATGGGCATGGGCTCAAGACTTGGCTGTTCCACTTCTGCTATGGCCTGGGAAAGCAGTAGAAGATGGCTGAAGTATTTGGGTCCTTGCACTCATGTGGGAGACCTGGAAGAAGCTCCTGGCTTTGGATTGGTGCAGCTCCGACCACTGCAGCCATTTGCAGAGTGAGCCTTTGGATGGGAGACCTCTCTCTCTCTCTCTCTCTGTGCCTCTCCTCTCTCTGTGTAACTTTGACTTTCAAATAAATAAATAAATCTTTAAAAAAACCAAAAAGCATATCATAAAAATTTTCCCCCTTTCAGTTATTTCTTCTTGAACAATATGCAGTATACATGCAGCTACAGAAAACTACTCTGAACCTTTATCCTGCTTTCTGAAATAGTAAAATTATATTAACTAAATTTCATGCAATAATAAGCTTATTAAAATATAAACCAAAAGAACACAATGACCATATATAAGCCGAAATGTGAAGCACAACCATATGATCTCCAGATAATTTATTTGTATGAATCCCAGGAATTTTTTTTTTTAGTGTCAGCAGCTTTCCTAAGTTCTAACTGATAGGCAAAGATCGTGTTTATAGGAGCTTTTTTCTAAGCTTTTAAAAAATTTATTTGAAAATATTGTGTATAGAGGAGAGACCCAGAGAGATCTTCCTTCTGCTTTTTCACGTCAGAGATGGCCTCATTGAGCAGGGCTGGGACAGAATGAGGCCAGGAACCAAGATCTTCATCTGGATTTCCCACATTGGTAGCATTTGCCCAAGTATTTGGATCATCTTTCATTGCTTTGCTCAGGCCATCAGCAGGAAGCTAGATCAAAAGCAGAACAGCCAGAACATGAACCAGTGCTCATATGGGGGGCTTGCATTGCAGACAGCAGGTTTACTTGCTATGTGACAATGCTGGCCTTGTTTTAATGCAACTTCTAAATGAAATTTTGAAGTTGTATGCATTGTTGTTTGCATGTAACTCAACTTTCTGCCATACGTACTGATATGTATCAGCATTTGAAGTAAGACAAATCAGAAAACACAATGGCTTAACAAATAGCCATTTGATTTGCAGTTCTTTTATTTATTTATTTTTTGACAGGCAGAGTGGACAGTGAGAGAGAGAGAGAGAGAAATTCTGTTGGTTCACTCCCCAGTGGCTGCTGCGGCAGGTGTGCTGTGGCCCTCTTAGTATTGTTTTTGTTTGTTCTACTTAATACTTTTGGTTGAATACTGTAATCAATACACAATTCTTCTTAAGTGCTGAAACTTAACTGAAAAGTGATCGCTGTTAAATATAAGAGTGGGAATAAGAGAGGGAAGAGATGTGCAATTCGGGACATGCTCAAGCTGACTTACCTCAAACAGTAGAGTTAGAAACAAACCAGGGGATTCGAATTCAATCCCATCGAAGTGGCATGTACCAATGCCATTTCACTAGTCCCAGTGATCAATTTCTGTTCACAATTGATCGTAATGATAGGACTAAGAACCAAAGGGATCACATAAACAAGAATAGTGTCTGCAAATACTAGCTGACACTGCAAATACTAGCTGATAGAATCAAAAAGGGAGAGAATGATCCAACATGGGAAGTGAGATACACAGCAGACCCATAGAATGGCAAATGTCCTAACAGCACTCTGGCTTCATAATCAGCCCTTAAGGCATGCGGATCTGGCTGAAATGCCCATGAGAGTATTTCAGGCATGGAAAGTCAAGACACTCTGGGGGGGGGGGAACCTAAATGAAAGATCTCCACGAGTGAGATCCCAGTGGAAAGAATGGGTCACCATCTTCTACTGTTTTCCCAGGCCATAGCAAAGAGCTGGATCGGAAGTGGAGCAGCCGAATCTTGAACTGACACCCATATGGGATGCTGGCACTGCAGGTGGTGGCCTTACCTGGTATGCCACAGAACCAGCACCAGAAATAGACAATTTCTAAAGTATTTGCCTTTTCAGATTTTCTTTTTCTGACAGTTGTTATCTTCTGAAAAACCCTGGGGCCTGCCTGTTGAAGAGATAGTATGTAGGCTGGCGTTGCAGCTCACTAGGCTAATCTTCTGCTTGTGGCACCAGTACTCCAGGTTCTAGTCCCAGTTGGGGTGCTGGTTGTGTTCTGGTTGCTCCTCTTCCAGTCCAGCTCTCTGCTGTGGCCTGGGAAGGCAGTGGAGGATGACCCAAGTGCTTGGGCCCCTGCACACACATGGGAGATCAGGAGGAAGCATGTGGCCCTGGCTTTGGATTGGCACAGCATGCTAGCCATAGTGGCCATTTAGGGATGAACCAACAGAAGGAAGACCTTTCTCTCTCACTAACTCTGCCTGTCAAAAAAAATGATAATATGTAGCCAAGATTCACCACAAACCCAAGACACTTAAGTGAAGCCTCAATAAGTTCTCCAAGTGACTAAACTCTCATTTCTGCTCCTGGAGTGATCACAGGAACTGCCCAGCTGAGTGCAGCCCATAACATGGGGTCAGAACTGCAAATCAGGGCCGGCACCATGGCTCAATAGGCTAATCCTCTGCCTGAGGTGCTGGCACCCCTGGTTCTAGTCCAGGTTGGGGTGCCAGATTCTGTCCCAGTTGCTCCTCTTCCAGTCCAGCTCTCTGCTGTGGCCCAGGAGTGCAGTGGAGAATGGCCCAAGACCTTGAGCCCTGCACCCGCATGGGAGGCCAGGAGAAGCACTTGGTTCCTGGCTTCAGATCAGCACAGTGCGCCAGCCCAGCCCTCATCCTGACTGTTGATAAGCAGCTTAATATGTTATCCCTCTTATTCTTTATTCATTCTATCATATTCTTTTTTCCCACTGTTCAGTGCAGAAGGAAACCAGAGGGTTTTTTTAAAGTTTCATTTATTTATTGAAAGAGTTGCAGTGAGAGAGAGAGAAAGAAAGCCTTCTATCTGCTGTCTCACCCTCCAAATTACTGCAAAGGCCAAAAGCTGAGCTGATCCAAAGCCAAGACCCAAGAGCTTCTGGGTCTCCCATGCAGGTGTAGTGGCCCAAGGACTTGGACCATGTTCCACTGCTTTGTCAGGACATAGCCGGGAGCTAGATTGTACATTCAGCAGGAAGGATTTGAACCAGCCCCCATATGGAATGCTGGCACTGCAGGCAGCAACTTTACCCGTTATGCCACAGCGTTGGCCTCCCGAGTTTTCATTGAACTCCTGCCATTCACCTTCTCTCCCAGGTATGATTCTAGGCCCTCCACATGATTCTAGGAGGAAGGAAAATTAATATATCACTTGTAAGTGTTTTTTCTTCTCAAATTATTCCCCAGCTTGGCAGTACTCATTTTAGGTGTTTAATGCTAGTTTTCTTTTTAGATTTTTTTATTTGTTTGAAAGTCAGAGTTACAGAGAAGCAGAGGGAGAGAGAGAGTCTTCCATCCACTGGTTCACCCCCCAGTTTGCCACAATGGCCGAAGTTGCACTGATCCAAAGCTAGAAGTGAAGAGCTTCTTCTGGGTGTCCCACATGGGTACAGGGTCCCAAGGATTTAGGTCATCTTCTACTGCTTTTCCAGGCCGTTGCAGAGAGCTGGATTGGAAGCAAAGCCACTGGGACTTGAACTGGCACCAATATGGGATGCCAGCATTGCAGATAGTGGCTTTACCTGCTATGCCACAGTGCTGGTCCCAGTATACTAGTTAATTAAAATGGAAAAATACAGGGCTGGCTCTGTGGCTCAGTGGATTAACACCCTGGTCTGAAGTATCGGCATCCCATATGGGCAACAGTTTGCAATCGGCTGCCCCACTTCTGCTCCAGCTCTCTACTATGGCCTGGGAAAGCAGTGGAAGATGGCCCAGGTCCTTGTGCCCCTTCACCCATGTGGGAGACCCAGAGGAAGCTCCTGGTTCCTGGCTTCAGATTGGTGCAGCTCCAGCCACTGCAGCCAATTGGGGACTGAACCAGCAGATGGAAGACCCACCCCTCTCTCTCTAACTCTTCCTTTCAAATAAATAAATAAATCTTTAAAATAGAAAAATAGAAAAATAGACATAAAATTTGTTCTCATGAAATATGCAGAAATGAATGATGAATTTGGCATGATTGTGAAACATTACCGTCATCTTTAATAATGCAGTTTGGTCTCTTGTTTTTCTGTTGCTATAGCAAAATATATATTTGTTACACGAATTGAGTTGAAACTAAGCACAATATGCTACATTTTGGGGGTCATGTGGTCTGAATCAGTCTTTATTGTCACATAGATGATGTACTGAGGAGTGTTTTAGTGCTATCTATGAAGTTAACACTTAGCATTCTGCAAGAGGAAGAGTTACCGAGTGCTAAAGCACAAATCAGTTAAGTTTGTTTTTGAATTTTTAGAGTAATGGAGTCCTTAATATCTTTGAGAAGCTTAATTGGATTTGGGAATAGGATAAGGAATGTGTGGAGAAGAGAATCTACTAGAGGCTCATTTATTTTTTAAGATTATTTAGTTGAAAGGCAGACTTACAGAGATTGGGAGAGACAGGGAGACAAAAGGAGATATCTTCTATCTACTGTTTCCTTCCCCTAATGCCTGCAATGGCTGGGACTGGACCAGGCCAAAGCCAGCAGCCTGGAACTCCATCTAGGTCTCCCATATTGGTGGAAGGGTCCAAATACTCAGGCCATTTTCACTTCTCTTTCAGTCAGATTAGCAGGGAACTGGATTGGAAGTGGAGCAGCCAGGACTCAAATCCTCTGTTTACATGGGATGCCAGCAGTGATGGTGGAGGCTTAGGCTGCTGCATCACAATTCTGGTGACTATTGCAGGTTCTTAAACAAATCTCTAAGCATTTTTCTCAGTGAGTCACAAGTGCAGATTGTACTGCAGACATTCCCAGGTTCTCTTTTGGGGCAAATAATTCCATTGCTTTCACCTTAATTATGTATAATGTTATTTCAAATGTTTATCATTTGAATGTTTTGGGCAAGTAATTCCATTGCTTTCTTTCTTTTTTTTTTTTGACAGGCAGAGTGGACAGTGAGAGAGAGAGACAGAAAGGTCTTCCTTTTTTCCATTGGTTCACCCTCCAATGGCCGCCATGGCTGGCACGCTGTGGCAGGCTCACCACACTGATCTGAAGGCAGGAGCCAAGTGCTTCTCCTGGTCTCCCATGGGGTGCAGGGCCCAAGTACTTGGGCCATCCTCCACTGCACTCCCGGGCCACAGCAGAGAGCTGGCCTGGAAGAGGGGTAACCGGGAAAGAATCCGGCACCTCGACCGGGACTAGAACCCGGTGTGCCAGCGCCGCAAGGAAGAGGATTAAGCTAGTGAGCCATGGAGCTGGCCACCATTGCTTTCACTTTAATTAGGTATAATGTTATTTCAATTGTTTATCAGTAGAATAATCATAGACTAGGGCAAAAGCTAATTTGTATTCTTTGTCTTACCTGTATTTTCTCTCTTACTTAAAAATATTTATTAGCTTGATAGAGAAAGAAGTTGATGGACTGAGAGATAGAGAGCTTTGACACGTTAATTCACTCCCTAGATAACCATACCAAACATAGTTGGGGCAGGACTGAAGCCAGAATTAAGAAATGGAATCTAGGCCTCCTTCATTGGTGACATCACAACTGCTTCCCCAGGTCTGCATTATCTGTGAGCTAAAAACTGCAGCTGGCATTGGAAATCAAACATAGACACTCTGAGGTGGCACCAGAAACACTAAGCTAAATGTCTGCCCTGTCTTTTAATGTATTTTTTCTCTGACATATTGGAAATGATAGGCATGGTGTTTTCCTGGAAATTATCTTCTGTTCATTCCTATCATAGTTTCATGGATGTTTTCTTGCCTTTTTTCCTCAATGCTTCTACATACTTCTCCTTAACCCTGCCCATTCAAGAGTCAATATTGCCCCTCTGTTAGCCTGCTGTGCAATTCCCCTTGACAGATGTGGCCTTTGTGATTTGAACCTCTTGTTTCCCTCCAGCTTAGGCATTTCTCACAGCCTGTAGATCATGGGTTTGACTCTGTTGAATGCTTCTGTGTGGATTTCTTAACACTCAACAAGTTTAATGAGAAACCACATCCTTTCTTTTTTCCTTTGTATCCACACAAAACTGTCGGTGTTTATTTTGTGACAGAATTAATATGTTGACTGGAAATGTAATATTACAGGTGATGATAGCATTTGAAGACCTGGCTGTGTACTTTACTTGGGAGGAATGGCAGAAAATGAACAATGCTCAGAAAATCCTGTACAGAGATGTGATGCTGGAGACCTACAGCAGCCTGTTCTCCTTGGGTGAGTAACACCCATCACATACCCAGTGATAATATTTTCTTGCTATTTGACAAATAAGGGAACACTTTATAATGTTTAATATTGGGCTGGTGTAGAATTTGAGTCCAGGAATGATCTGAATATCTACCCTCTAATAAAAGATTCAAATTGGAACATTTGTTGCATAGCTCCTGGACCAAGCTATAGTCCTTTAAATAACCCAAGATAGTGATTTCACAAAGTCTTACATGTTTCCATTAATAGGGCACTGCATTACCAAACCTGACTTGATCTTCAAGTTGGAGCAAGGAGCAGAGCCATGGATAGTGGAAGAATGCCTGAATCAGAGCCTTCCAGGTCAGTCTGCACATAAGAGAGAGGGAGACCAAGGCAGAAATTGTGCAGATGGTGACTGGTGCTCTTTCCATGAATTTTTCTCAAGCCTTACTCCTGATGACAGCTGGTTTTGTGCATCAGACACAGGCATTCTAGAGTATTTAGTGATACCAGTGTCTTTCTAACTTTTGTTCTTAGTGAAGATGTTCTTTGAATAAAAAAAATCCAATCATTTTCTGATGTTACTAAGGCTTTTATCTAGGTGTGATAATTCCCCAAATTCTAACTTGTCCTTCTCTAAACTTTCATACCTTTTCCTTCATGCACTTATTAGTTCCTTCAGTGCTTGTTAATTAGGCAATGTTCAGAAACTTTTTTTTAAGATTAATGTTTCTTTTTTTTAAAAGATTTATTTATTTGAAAGTCAGAGAAGAAGGAGAGGGAGAGAGAGAGGTTTTCCATCCACTGGTTCACTTCCCAATTGGCTGTCATGCCTGGAGCTGCACTGATCCAAAGCCAGGAGCCAGGAGCTTCTTCCAGGTCTCCCACATGGTACAGGGGTCCAAGGATGTGGGCCATTTTCTACTGCTTTCCCAGGCCATAGCAGAGTGCTGGATCAGAAGTGGATCAGCTAGGACTTGAACTGGTGCCCATGGTGGCTTTACCACTGCAGGTGGTGGCTTTACCTGCTATGCTACAACGCTGGCCCTCAGAAACTTATTTCTAACTCATTGTTTTCCCCAGGAATAGAACTTTCTCAGGATGGAATCAATAAATGTGAACTCTCTCTATCTCTTAGTCTCTTTCCTTTTTTTTCCTCTTTGCCTCTCAAATAAATAAGAAAATTATAGTTTGTTGCAAACATTTGAGGAGTGAGCCTATAGCTGGCAAACCTCTGTTCAGTCTTTATCTTTCATTCTGTGTCTCTGACTCTCAAGTAAGTAAATAAGTAAATGCTAAAATATGGTCACGGGGCCAGTGCTGTGGTGCAACGAGTTAACACCCTGGCCTGAAGTGCCAGCATCCCATATGGCCACCAGTTCAAGACCCAGTTGCTCCACTTCCAATCCAGCTCTCTGCTATAACCTGGGAAAGCAGTAGAAGATGGTCCAAGTCCTTGGGCCCCTGCACCCAAGGGAGACCCAGAAGAAGCTACTGGCTCCTGGCTTCAGATCAGCACAATTCTGGCTATTGAGGCCAATTGGGGAGTGAACCATTGGATGGAAGACCGTACTCTCTCTTTGCCTCTCCTCTCTCTGTGTAACTCTGACTTTCAAATAAATAAATAAATCTTTCAAAAAAGATGGTCAGGAATAAGCCTCTGTGCTGTGACATCAGAAATTAGGAAGCTAGGAATGACACTTTGGTGCAGTGTGTTAAAGCTCCAGCCTGCAGCACTAGCATTGCATATGGGTGCCAGTTCAAGTCCCAGCTGGTCCTCTTCTAATCCAGCTCTCTGCTAATGCACCTGAGAAAGGAGTAGAGGTTGGCCCAAGTCCTTGGCTCCCTGTACCCATGTGGGAGACAAGAAAGACACTCCTGGCTCCTAACTTCATCTTGGCCCAGTATTGGTTGTTGTGTCCATATAGGGAGTGAACCACTTCTCTCTGTCTCTACCTCTCTCTCTAATTCTAGCTTTCAAATAAATAAAGTAAATCTTTGAAAAAAGAAATCATAAACTAAGCATGAATTTATATAAAACATAAAAATAAGTGATCCTAGACTAACCAAAAAAGTAATGAGATGCTGAGACCAAGGTCAAGTAGCCTCGTGGGTTTATGTTGAGTGGTTCAGATTTCTTTAAGGTTGGAGTTTGAAGTATGATTTCTCTCCTATTTTTCAGTATCATTGAAAAATATGCAAACAAAAAGATGAGAAATGCATATGAAATGAATCTTTCTGTGCAAATAGGAGGCAATTGATCAAAAGCCTCCAGAAATTCAAATTATCACATAGGAATGTTTATAGAAAGAATTTAGAGGTGGTAACCAGCACTGATGACTTCAGAATGAGCTAAAAAACGCTTTTAAAGAAGATGAGCACATCCCAGTTTGCAGAAACACATTCTTCAAACTGATTGGAAGTGCTTAACCACAGTGGTATATTGTGACTTTTCTCTACCTGTTGTACTTCTGAGAAGCTGAAGGTGTTGGGTGTCCTTAGGAATTTGGGGAAGCTGTCCTAGAGTAGAGACAAAGTATTTTTTCATTTGAAAAATCCCACAAATGATGTTTACCTAGGAAGACTGAATGTAAGACAATCATAGATTCCAATCATACTCCTTAAATGTTGTCTTGCTTAAAGTACAGGAACATTTCACTCTTCTCCACCTAAAAGTAAGTGATCAGTAAAACTTTTTCATGTTTATATTTGAAATATCAGAGAAGCACAAAACACACAGTTTTTATAAAAATAAACTGGAGAAAAAGGACAGGGAAAAATGGTTGCTAGGTAGTGGGTGAATATTTTTATTAAACATTTGTCCATTCTTTAGAATACTTTATAGTTATTTCATCTTTGTGAAAGGCAGTGTGATAGTGAGAGGAGAAAGAGAGAGAAAGAGGTCCTCTCTTAGCTCACTTCCCAGATGCCTGCAACACTTAGGTCTAATTAGTCTGAAGCCAAAACTCTAGAATTCATCTAGTCTTCCCTGGTGTCTCACAGGTTCCCAGGCACATGAACCATTTTCTACTTCCTCCCTGTTTACATGGGTAGAGAGCTGTACTGAAAGCAGAGTAGCCAGGGCTGAAACTGACACTGTTTTGAGATGCAGGGATCACACACATCATAGCACAAATGAAATTCTACCATCCTTGAAAAATTCTCATAGTAAAAAGAATCATATTTCAACATTGGGAAACCTCACGGTACAATTTAATATATGAATGTATTAAGGAGAAAAGCCATATAATGGTCATAAATAAGTACCTCATATTGATTTTGTGAAAATATTATGCCACTTGCATAACAAGTGACTTCATTCCCTTTACATGAGTATGCCAGGAGAAATAGTTACATGCGATTCAGTAACATGATTGCTTTTTTCTCATTTCAGTGGTCATGAAAAGGGATGACCTGATTAGGATCAACCAGGAAAGTCATGACAAAAATCTGAATCAGGATTTTATGAAAAATAATAAGACATCAGCTCTCAAGAGAGTTGAATTAAGAAAAACACTTAGTTTAAATTCAAGCCATATTCCAACACTGATTATTAAAAAGGGAAGCTATACAGGATTGAAGCCTGAGGAATGCAGTAAATGTCACACTGTGTATCCCCCCAGTGGGCCTGATCAACTACAGGCTGGAGAGAAATTTGATAACACCAAGATACCTGGAAATTCTCTCCAGTTCTGTGAGCCTCTTGGTCAGCATGACAATATTCACATCATGAAGCAGCCATTTGGACCTACTGGACAAGCTAATGTCTCCACAAGAACGATGTTTTATAAATCTGAGAGGATTCATATGGCAGAAAACTATAATAAATCAACTGTCACTTTTGGAAAAGCAACTCAAATAGAAAAAGCTAAACATGAAAATTTTAGCCTCAATATGTACCAACAAACCTACACAAGAGAGAAACTTTATAAGTACCTTAGGTATGTTGAACCTGTCATTCACCAGTCACATCCTGCAATAAATCAGAGATTAAATACAAGGGAAAAACTCTACACATGTAAACCTTGTGGAAAATCAATCAGTTTTAATTCACCTTATGAATGTAATGACTGCAGAAAAGCTTTTGGACAAAAGTCAGTCCTCAGGAAACATCAGCAGATTCACACAGGCGAGAAACCTCATAAATGTAATGACTGTGGGAAAGCCTTTGGACGAAAGTCAGCCCTCATCATACACCAGCGAATTCACACAGGGGAGAAACCTCATAAATGTAATGACTGTGGAAAAGCCTTTGGACGAAAGTCAAACCTCATAATGCACCAGAGAATTCACACAGGGGAGAAACCTCATAAATGTAATGACTGTGGAAAAGCCTTTATACAAAAGTCACACCTCATAATGCACCAGCGAATTCACACAGGGGAGAAACCTCATAAATGTAATGACTGTGGAAAAGCCTTTGGACGAAAGTCAGCCCTCATCATACACCAGCGAATTCACACAGGGGAGAAACCTCATAAATGTAATGACTGTGGAAAAGCCTTTGGACGAAAGTCAGCCCTCATCATACACCAGCGAATTCACACAGGGGAGAAACCTCATAAATGTAATGACTGTGGAAAAGCCTTTGGACGAAAGTCAGCCCTCCTCGTACACCAGCAAATTCACACAGGGGAGAAACCTCATAAATGTAATTATTGTGGAAAAGCCTTTGGGCAAAAGTCAGCCCTCATCATACACCAGCGAATTCACACAGGGGAGAAACCTCATAAATGTAATGACTGTGGAAAAGCCTTTGGGCAAAAGTCAGCCCTCATCATACACCAGCGAATTCACACAGGGGAGAAACCTCATAAATGTAATGAAATGTAATGACTGTGGAAAAGCCTTTGGACAAAAATCAGCCCTCATCAAACACCAGCAAATTCACATGGGACAGAAACCTCATGAATGTAATGACTGTGGAAAAGCCTTCAGACCTCATCATACACCAGACAATTCACACAGGGCAGAAACCTCATGAATGTAATGATTGTGGAAAAGCCTTTATACAAAAGTCACACCTCATAAAGCACCAGAAAATTCACACAGATGAGAAGTCCTATCAATATAATGACTATGGGAAAGCCGTTGGATGAAAGTCAGACCTCCTCATACATCAGTGAATTCACACAGGGCAGAAACCTCATAAGTGTAATGACTGTGGCAAAACCTTTTTATGACATATCACACTAAAGAATTCACACAGGGGAGACCCATGAATGTAATGACCAGGGGAAAGCCTCTTAATAAAAGTCAGTCCTTTGGAAACATCAGAGAATTCACACAGGGGAGAAACCTCATGAGTGTAATTACTGTGGAAAAGCCTTTGGACAAAAGACAAACCTCATATCATAGAAGAGAATTAACACAGGGTAGAAAACTCATGAATGGAATAACTGGAAAATCATTTAGCCATAAGTCAACCCTCATCGTGCATCAGAGAATTCACACAGGGCAGAAACCTTATGAATGTAATGACTGGAAAACCCTTTGGACAAATGTCAAACCTCATAATGCACCAGAGAGTGCACACAGTGTTGAAACTTCATGAGTATAATGACTGTGGAAAAACTTTTGGTTCCAACTCCAAATGCATCAGAGGATTCACCCAGGGAAATAATCTTATAAATGTAATGACTGCAGAAAAGCATTTTTCTATAAATTATACCTCATATCAAACAGAATTCACACAGGGCAGAAACCTTATGAATCTAATGAGTGTGGAAAAGCCTTTAGAAATCATATGTTATAAATCATAGCTCATATCACACCAGAGACTTCACACCAGGGAGAAACTTCATGAATGCAATGACTGTAGAAAATTCCTTGGGAATATGTCACATCTCAGAATGCATCAGAAAATTCACATGTAGAGAAACCTTTTGAACATAATGACTTGGAAAGCTTTTTCCCATAATTCAGCCCTCATTGCGCATCATCTAATTCATATGGGGGAAAACCCTTTGGATATAATGCATATGGAAAAGCTTTTATCCTCAGGTAACACCTCATAAAACATCAGAATTCACATCAGGGAGAAACCTTATGAATGGAATGAGTGTTGAAAACTGCCAAAATCACACAATATAATAGCAGAGAATTTAGTACATGGTGGAAATCTTGTAATAAATGTGAGAAAGACTTTTTCCAGAAGGAATACCTCATAACACATGCAGTTCAAACGAAGGAGAAAACTTAAATATAATGAATGTGAAGGACTTTTTCCAAAATCAGCATAACCATGTGACAGAGCCTTTTTCTGGAAATCCCATAAGGAAGAAAGGTTGGGACCAGCGCTGTGGCACAGTAGGTTAAAGCCCTGGCCTGAAGTGCCAGCATGCCATGTGGGCACTGGTTCTAGTCCCAACTGCTCCTCTTCTGATCCAGCTCTCTGCTATGGCCTGGGAAAGCGGTAGAAGATGGCCCTGCACCCAGGTGGGAAACCCAGAAGAAGCTCCTAACTCCTGGCTTTGGATCTCTGTAGCTCCAGCCATTGCATCCATCTGGGGAGTGAACCAGTGGATGGAAGACCTCTTTGTGCTTCTCTGTCTCTCCGTAACTGTCTTTCAAATAAATAAAGTAAATCATTAAAAAATGAAGAAGTTCAGAAATATTATTAGTGTGACAAAAAGCCATTTGTCAGAAATCGATCATTATACATCAGAGAATTCACATAAGGGATTTCTTAGGAGTGTAATGAATGTGGAAGTATATTTTCATGGAATTCAGGCTTGAATAAATATGCAACTCAAAAAAGGTGATATCCTTCAAGTGCAGTAGATTTGAACAAACCATAGCCAGAAATTAGACATCAGGCTGCACCGTAGAGCAGTAGGTTAATCCTCCCCCCGCAATGCTGACATCCCATATGGGTGCCAGTTCTTATCCCAGCTGCCCCTCTTCCAGTCCAGCTGTATGCTGTGGCCTGAGAAAGCAGTAGAAGATGGCCTAAGTGCTTGGGCCTCTGCACCCACATGGGAGACCAGGAAGAAGCCCCTGGCTCCTGGCTTTGGTTTAGTGCAGCTCTGGCCATTGCAGCCATTTGAGGAGTGAACCAACAGAAGGAAGACCTTTCTCTCTGTCTCTCTCACTGTCTGTAACTCTACCTGTCAAATAAATAAATAAAAATCTTAAAAAACAAGAAATTAAACATCAACAAACAAGAGAATTCAAATAGTAAAATGTCAATGAATGTGAAAAATTCTTCTGCCATTAATCAATTCACATGAAGAGACTCAGAAATGAGAAAACATACATGCATAGGAAAGTCATGTACCATACGTCATCTCTCAATGGTTACCTGACAACTCACAGAAAGAAAAAAGCCTATGACTGTATTGTAATGGGAAATACCTTTATTATTAGGTGAACTTCCACAAAACATAGCAAGATTACAGAGAGAAGTCCCTGAAATATAATTTGTCTGGAAGAATTCTTTGGTGGAATCACACCTTAGTAGGTATTGGGCAGTTTTCATGATGAATTGTGACAGAGAGTGGTTAACCGTTCTTCAGACATTTTTCTCTTATACAACCTGCAGTTTTGGTTTCTCATTGAGAGTGGGATCAAGTATATGAATTGAACTGTGCTCTCTTGTGTAAATTTTGTTAATAAATATTTCAAAGTTGAGTAACAGTTATTGCAACAGTTATTTGGAATACCATCTTCACCAATTACAAAGTTATTTGTTTATAGCTGCTTTGTTGGCCACCCAGGATTCTTTCCCCACATTATTGTAGTGCAAATCATAGGCATATGAAGTGACACATGTTCCAGCCATAATAGTGTACCCTGACCCTGGATAATAAGTGTTGTGTGCAGCACAAGGGAATGTGTTTGTGGTGACCTATATACCCATGAGAAATTTCAACTTATCTGTGTGCACATCTGGATTAGACTCCACTATCCAAGGTCTATTTGAATATGCAAGTAGATGTTGTCCCATACATCACCCTCATTCTTTAAAGGGACAACCTCAAACACTATAAGTTGCAACACTCATCTGAATTTTCCTGTATTACTGAGTGCATAATACCTTTTTCATTCATGATCCCCCTATTCTACATGTCTTCATTCTATTCCTAATTGCCTTGAGACAAGAATATGGAATGAAGTCTGTCCAGGTGGTACCCATTGCAACAGAAAAGCAGGAGCATAAATGTAGTACACTTTAAAAAAAAAAGATTTATTTATTTATTTGAAAGAGTTACACAGAAAGAGCAGAGGAAGTGAGAGAGGGAGAACTTCCATCCAATGGTTCACTCTCCAATTGGCCACAATGGGCAGAACTGTGCTGATACAAAGCCAGGAGATTCCTCCAGATCTCCCATGTAGGTGCAGGGGCCCAAGGACTTGGGCCTTCTACTATTTCCCAGGCCATAGCAGAGAGCTTGATTGGAAGTGGAGCAGCCGGGTCTCGAGCCAGCACCCATATGGGATGGCGGTACTTCAGATCAGGGCGATAACCTGCTGTGACACAGCACTGGCCCCTGTAGTGCACTTTTGTATTAATTTAACTTTACTATAATTTTTATAAACTTTTATTGTTGTATTATTCCCTGCTCCTACAGGTGGCTCTCATTTTTACTGAAAATGTGTGTTTTATCCCTTCCAATTGACAATGTCATTTCTTGATTTATATAAACCTGATGTACATTCAGTTAATTCCTCAGGATACCCTCAGGAGGAACACTTTTCCTAGGTTGCATGGCTATCCCATGATAA